GAACATCAAAGAGGTGGTGACAGAGGAAACCCTTGCCGGGTTGGGGTTTGAGTTTGTTCAGGATGAGCTTCGCCACCAACCCGACCTACTGAGGGACATCCCCGGGGGGCATCAGCCTGACCAGCTGAAGGACATTCCTGAGGAAGGTCTTGATTGTGGTCCTTTTGGTAGGTGACCCTTTCTTTTGCCCAGATGTTTAGTTTATCTTTTCCCAAGGCTGACCATTTCCTTTGTTTCCAGTGGAATTACAAGATTCAGGAGAAGAGATGGACAGCGATCTCCTGCTCAGTCGCTTCACCGCAGGGAGGAAAAGGAAGAGAGAGACAAGGGGCCAGGGCAAACGTTCTTCATCCCACCACGAGGAGGGTCCTTCTCGAAAGCCGGTCGTAACTGTGGTGGAGGACCAAGAAGATGCTACCCAAGAACCGGGTACCATGGCTGGCCAGTCCCCTCCACACCCCGTGACTGGCCAGCCATCACCACCCGCAGTGACCTACGAGGTGGCGACCGGGGGTCGCTCGACGAGGCTCTGCATCCCTCCCCTGCCCCAAAGCCTAGGGGACGTACAGCTGGAGACTCTTATCACTCTGCCTGCAGAAGACCAGGCTCGTATCTCGGCAGGCTCCGAGGACGACCTTGACAACATGGTCCTTTTAAGGCTCAGTCAGGTACTGGTCTTGATCTCCTATGCATCACTCCTTTTCTTTAGGCCACTAACCCTCACCCCTTTGCACAGGCTACACTGGGGATGATTGAGGTGGTCGGCCGGAAACGGGGTCGCCAGGCCGCCGCGGACGAGGTGATGAAAGCAGCCGAGGCCAAGTAGAAGGAGCTGCAGGAGGAGGTCGCCCGACTCACTAGGGAGTTGGAGGAGAAAGAAAATCGCTGCGCGGCGCTTACTGTGGAGAAAGCTTCCCAGGAGAACCGCTGCGTCGCCCTTGAGGCAGACAAGGCCTCCTTGTCCTTGGAGGTAGAATCTGTTTCTGCTCGAGTGGTTGAGCTGGAAGGGGAGAAATCTGATCTGATCCAGCAGCTGGAGGTGGAGAGGAGCGATCGGGTCCGCCATGCAGAGGGAGCGGTAGAATCCTTCAAGTCCTCTCCTGACTTCACGGTAGTCGCAATGGAGCGGATGGAAGAACTAACGGCCGCTTGGCTCAAAACTGAACCTGAGGCCCAATGGATGGTCAAGGAGGGAACCAAGTCCTTCAATTGCGGACTCTTCCATGCCCAACAGGTCTTCCACAACAGGCTGGCCCAGCTCCCTAAAGGATTCTCTCTCCCCGACCTTGGCTTCCCTCCTCCCTGCCGCTCCTTGGCCGAGTTCGACCCCAGTCCCTATCTGGACGGGGGGAGCTCGAGTGCGTCGGAAGAGGAGGAAGAAGAAGAAGTGGAAGGTGGTCAGAGCGACCAGAATCCAGGGGCCAGC